GAGTTGGGGATTAACAGATTTGAATAGGTCAGACTGGTCCCAACTAGTTACACAGTTGGAGTTTACAGCTGATGTTTAAACTACATTTAGCAACTGTGTATTGTAAATACCACCCATCACCACCCTTATGATGGTCCTTTTCGTGTGCTGGAAGCGGGGCGTAAGTTTTTTCTGGTGGAGATAGGGACGGGGAAGGACCGTGTTTCCGTGGATCGTTTGAAGCCTGCTCATGTACTCCAGGATGACAAAGTGGAGCTGGCACGCCCTGCCCGCCGGGGCCGCCCTCCGAATCCTATCTGTGACAGCCTCTTCATTCCCACTTGAACAGCTGAAGCATGAGAGTCCAACAGACTGCAGAACTACAAACCCCGACATTTGACACGTTTCAATCATGTTATCAAACCTCAGAGCGAATTTCCGAACAGCTCTGTAGCACTGATGTCACAGCCAAAGCCACACTGAAGCAAAGAGTGCATAAAAATCTATTCAAAACGGTAAAGACTTGTATACAATTATAATACCGCTTCGTTCAAACTGATACTTTTGAAGCAGCAGTTGTTCATTTACCCTAATCGTGGGTTACATGCCAAAAAGATATTTGGTAACAGAAGTCAAACAAAAATATACGTATCCATGCTTGTTTTGATCCATCTTGAGTAGCTAAGTCTGTATATGCATAAAGAACTCACCATTCATTGGACAACAGGCTACAGTTATGTCAGTGCTACAAAGCTATGAGGAATTTCCTATGAGGCAGATCTTTACCACCAGTGTTTAAACATAACCTACCATTTGCATAACTGCCCCTGGAACCATTTAGGCATTGTGGTTTATGAATGCACTGTGGATGCAGAGAGATCACTACAGTCATCAGTTCAACTCTGGAACGTCGTGGGTATTTTACTGCCTCTCATCTCGATGGTTTTGTTTCTCCTTCAGTAGCGCGGTGCCTCTCTTGTTCCACACGGCAAGACGGGAAGCAAGAAAACTTCCTGTCCAGCAGCAAACAAAGCCAGTCTCACGTGAGTTTGTGGCTGAAAAGAAACGTTTCTTTTCAGCAACTGGACTCCTGGTTATTTTATTTTTTGCTGTGAGCTGTACGGCATTAACTGAGCACATGCAGTCCGTTACAGCGCCTGTGTTTCAGGATGCATTAGTTGCTGAACCACCAGGTCTATATTAATGATGGGGCTGAAGTAGAGAGCCCAGTAGAAGAGACAGTTGCACACAAACTGTGGGACGAAAGGCCACAGGAGGGCAAAGGCGAATCCCTGAGAGAGCATCTTCCACAAGTGGTTCCCCATTTTTTGCGGCAGAGTCCTACAGAAGGACACAGATTAGATCAACACAGGAGCTTTATAGCCAACAATTTTACATGTCGTTATTCTCTTGAGGTCTACTTTGGTTTCTAATGAACGCATACTTTCTGAAACTAAATTTTGGTATGATTCAGAGGGTGACACTAAATTCACTTCCAGGTAAAATGCAAAACAGCAAACATGGCATTAATAAAACATAAAAAAGGCTATGTGTTTGCTGACAGCTGCGAGCATTTGACTTATCAGTAGTAGTCAGTTGGAGTAAGAATCATGGCCAATTAAACAGTGTTGTCAATGGAAAAGGCCTATATCTAAAGTTAAAAGTATTTGTGTGACGAAGGAAAAACAAAAAAAAAAACAGGAACAAAGCACAAAGACTGAGTGTACCTGATTCTGGCTCTTGTCCAAAGCCTCCATAGGGCGCAGCCTTCCAGCACAGACAGCAGCATGGCATTAACAATAATGAAGCGGGATGTCCAGTAGTGGACGGCCAACCAGTCCCAAGCAAACTCTGCAATTAGCTGGTATGGAAGCAGGCAGTATTTCACAAGGAACTCTGCCCACTGTCGCCAGCTGGGCTCCACCTAACGAACACGGGAGCATAACAAACAACAAATGATGAGCTCTTTTAAATCATTAAAACAGTTAGTAAAGCAACATAGATGAATTAAAGTTATATTTTACAGGCAAATCCGCCATTGTACAAAAATGTCTGCAACCTTAACAGATCAGTTTAATTAAATAAATCCCATCAACTATTCAGACGTTATCTACATCAAAATGAGTAAACTAATCAGAACAATTTTCACACAGCAAATTCTCTATATGAAAATCAGACCAATTCTGACACTGAGCCATTTTAATGCTCACAGTTCAATCTTAATCCAGTATGTCAGCAACAATCGCAGCATTGTGTGCAAAAAAAAATGTACCATCTGTTTCATGTTTGACCCATTACACTGGATTTAATGAGAGCTGCAAGTTAGTTTTTTGTGAAGTACCACCTGTGTCTCAAGGAATCTGCTCTCCACTTCCTGGTCGATGTGTGCGATGGCTGGACAGCAGGTGTGCAAGAAGGGCAGGAAGGTCTCGGAGTAGTCAAATAAATACAAATAAAAGATTGTGAGACGAGGGGAGCGCTTCAGTGCGTACAGCAGGAACAGAGACTTCCCAGCGTTAGCCGCCTGGTAGAGTGACACAAATAGTAGAAGCACAGTTACTTCATAGTGAATTTAACAAATATGACAAACACCCACACGAGAAACTCAGCTCTTAAAATCGCAACTGTGGAGTATTTTGCTCATCGAAGGAAAACTAAAAACAAATAAATACTAGATTAGGAGCACCTAGTTTGTGCTATAGTAATAGAACAAATGTTCCATTCAAACTCATGTACAGATTACAAAAAGTCCTCAATGCCTGCACATGAAGTAGACCAACTTAGGCAATTTTAAAAATACATTTGTTACTTGAGGTTGCTCACCTTGTATTCCCAGAGGTTCTGTGGAGGTTTGACCCCCAGGGCTTTAACTCTGTCCAGTTCAGCCAAAACAGCTCGTCTGTGAGCCTGATTTTCTATGCTGTAAGGAGATTTTAACAACTCCTCCTCCCCCAGCATCAACAGGAGCCTGAAGCAAAGAAATGAACACCATATCTAATAATGAACAAGATGAGCCACCACACTTGATACCATCGGCCAACTTCTAAGGGTACTAGCATAAATGCACAGCATGATTTTCATTTTCCAGGATGAAATGTGTCTGCATGACATTTTACCAGGACAAAAAAAAGAGCAAAATATAATTTCTCTACCTTCCGTTGACGTTTTCCTGCTGGAAGGGTTCTCTGTACAGCTGGGCCCAGGGCCCCAACTGCTCCAGCCAGGACACAACCTCCTCCGGTGTCCAGCGAGACACAGGTTTACTGATCAACAGGTCATGTTGTTCTACTACACCATAGCTCCAGTGATACACCAGCACCATCACCTGGACACAGCCAATAACGTCACTGACAAACAGTACAGTAAACCCAGGTGCACTCTATTTGCATTACAACACATTTGCATTTGGATGCAAAAAAGAAGATATTTGGCTCACGACTCGGTTGTGACGAGTTGGGGATTAACAGATTTGAAGAGGTCAGACTGGTCACAACTGGTTACACAGTTGGAGTTTACAGCTGATGTTTAAACTACATTTAGCAACTGTGTATTGTAAATACCACCCATCATCACTAGATGTCACTAGATGTATTAGATTTGCAAGTGCACCAACCTTCTCTCCATTTCCATGACAGTTACAGCATGTTATTGAGTTCTCTTTACTAACCTAAGTTTAGCTAAACCTCCCTTTATTTGTGTCATTTGATAATGTGACAAAATCACTGCAAATAAAATATATAATATCTAAGATGTATTTCTAAATATGACTGCTGTGCAGGACATTTTACCCTGTACACAGCTCGTCAACAAGTCAGGCTCAGTAAGTGTCCATCTAGCACCATGACAACTTAATAGTTCAAAAACAGTAAGCACAAGTCCAATGGGTGCTGAAAAATGATAATGAATAACAGTACAATGTGCTTACGTTATTTTATTCACCTACAGGGAGTAGGTATGTTTTCTGGTGAAACAACTAAGCTGTAAAGACAGAAAGTAACCTATCTTTAGATTTCTGGAAATCAAAGGGCAAGAGATGTGTGAAACGAAGAGTGGAGAGAAACAGGACTCAAACTTGCAAGAGTCAGCGGACCATATGAAGTCACATTAACTACATCTAATATAAATGTTGATTAAATCGGGATAGGCTCCAGCCCCCCCGCGACCCTAGTGAGGATTAAGCGGTGTATAGATAATGGATGGATGGATGGATGGATGGATGTTGATTAAATCAAAGCTTAGTGCCTGTGTAATCTTATTCTGGGCTTTACGTTATTTGTTTTTCTCCTCATGATGACTGTTTCTGATACAGTATCACTGATCTGTTACTAATCGTAGAAGCCATATCTGAAGCGAGGAGTATGCAGAACACTTATTAGTCCAGTAGATGTCAGCTTTGAGTGGTGACAGCTGTCGCTGGACAGAGGACAAAGAATATTTTGTAACCGCCTTGCCACGTTAACACATGTAGATTTGTAAGCAAAAGTGCATTTAACAACATGAAGACCTATAATGGTGAGCCTTTCATCTTCCACTGAAAGCAGAAGTTTGAACTCTTGTTATTTCACCAGACACTATTAAGCAGTGAGTGTCAATTATATGTCTGTCTATACAGCGGCTCTATGGCTTTAAGTTTAAGCTTTGGTACTAATAAAAAACTACATGCATCTTAGTTTGTGGGCAAAGTTGTCTTTCTGTGCAAATCTTATGAACCAAGGAAAACACAAACCCAAAAAGCATACAAAACAACCTGATGCTTTGCACACAGTTCATGAATGGATATCATTATTGAGTAGATCCATTTTTGGAGAGCTGAGCCTTGGTCTGAGGTCAAAAACAGAACCATGCTGTAATCTATTTACATGCTCCCAGCAGCAGACACACAGACAGACATAAATTTACTGCTACGTGGCAAGACACACAGTGATGTTGCTCCCAAGTGCCACATGGACAAAATCAACATGGTCTGTTTACATCATTTGAACAACTGACCCCTTCAGTCACCACTGTGGCAACCTTTAGATATTACACAGGATTGCTAAAATCGCTTTGGGTAAAATATACAACAACTTAAAATCACAAATGTTACAAATGTAAAAAAGTGAATGAAGTCATGAAATTATTAAAGTGGTACAGTATGATAACAGTATAGCAAACATGAAATGACTGCTCGATACTGATTCAGTTTGCAAGTGTTTTTCTCTCAAGGAACATTTACCAAAATCATGGGGTAAATGAGTGTGCATGAGGTAACAGGAAAAATCATTGACACCTAAAGGGCATGCAGTGAAGCATCAATTTTCACTTGAGGTCATTTTATTGTGGGAGTTGTTATTTTCTGCTGTTGTGTACTTACAGCCACACATGTGAGTGCACTCAGGACTCCAGAGAAGAAAAAGCCCGCTCCTTTGTGCTGGTTTGTCCTTGATCGACCTAAGTTGTCACCATATCTAAAAAGAGGAAGATGAAGAGGACATGTATGTGAAAGCCGTCCCATGTGCGTCAGGACAAAGAGATCAAATACAGATCCAGCATCAGGCAAATTAGCAAAGACAAGGCCTGTATTGTCAACAGGGAATTCCAGCGAGTTTAGGCATTAAAAGTCTATTGACAGTGTTGTACAAAGCTATCTATAGCTTCAACAAACCACCTCAAGTGATGAAAAGGATCTGTTGGGTTTGGAGCTAACCAGATGACTGCAGCTAGAGGATGCGTTAGCTTCTGTTACTGCTAGCATAACACACCTGAATCTCATGTTGCATTGTGGGTAATGTAGGTGCAGGTTTTGATGAGGAAGAAGAAAATGGAGGATAAAAAAAAGATCATATCTTTTGTTCTAGTGGATCGAATTTGTCTCAGTTTTAGTATAAACTGTCCACTGTGTGTCTGACAGCGAGTTCAAGGCTAAATTTGTGCAGTGTTAACTTTTTAGTGTACACTAAATGGTTGCAGTCTTCCACAGTTTTACACCTAACAACTTGTATCATACAATATAGTACCTCTGGAAGGCCAGCAAGCTCTGGGAGATTTTGGGGTTTGCCTGGATTTCTGCTCTTCTCCGCTGTACAACCTCTCTGAAAAGCTTGTCAGTCGCATCCCTACAAAAAAAACAGAATATTGTGAACACAATTAATAGACAAAAGTGGAAGGTACAACAACAACAACAACAACAACAACAACAACAACATAAATACATAAATAAAAATAGTGTGCTGAAGGTATAGATATGCTCCTTGGTGTTTCTTCTGGCATCACTTGACTTATAGTAGCTCAAGCTGATTAGTTCTGACTTCTGTAAGAGCACAGAGTGAAATTGTCCTTCCACAGCCACAGTGTGATCAGTCTGAATTTGGATTGTGATTCTTCTTCACACTTCATAAACTGCGAAGAAGTCTCTGTGATACATCATGTGAGTAACTGTTCTGTTTCAGTTCACCCCCTTAACATCCGCCAAGACTCGTGAAAAATAACCAATTAACTTGTTCCACCATGACATCCATCCACATTCTTACTGAAAAACAGCTAAGAGCTTGGAGGCATTTTGATGGTTAGACAAAAGGGTGCAGCAAATGGTGATTTATTAAGCATGGCCATATAGATGACAGAAATCAAATCAAATCAAGTCTATTGTCATTTTCCTGTACATACACAGTAGTACAGGCAAGATGAGAGAACGTTTCTTCAGGATTATTCAACAAGCAAGTTTTGCGGAATGCACGTCTGGGATAAGACACTAAACTAAAAAATAAGAGACGAATATTATTCTGTGTGCACACATTACAAAGTAAGGAACTGTTATTGTTGTTGTATTGTTATCCTAAAATTGGGTACACATTGTTTGAATTGTGAAGCTTTCTGCTTTAAATGATGAGCCAGACTGGGCTGATGCCAAATACAGCAGCAAAACCTTCACTAGTCTGGTGTTTAAGGAAGTGAGTGTTAAGGGGTTAATGACACTTTGCAACATCTGAGAAACTTCCCCCCTTGGTAAATACAACATTTCCAGGCAAGTGAAAATACCCAAAGTTGTTCATTTTCACTCTAAAACATTGTGTGCACTATGTAGTGACTGTGCAATGATATGCTGACGTCAGTAACAGTGTACAAAGACATTTCCGATGCTTTAGATATCATACTAACATTTTTAAACTGATTTATACATGTTCCCTGGAAACAGGGCAACAGTAGTTTCTGACCACTTAATTTCCAGATATCTTTGACAATGGGATACTTGTGTCTAACGGCAGGAACTTGCTTCCTCTTATTACGAACAGTGCAAAAAAATACACATGATTTTTGTTTACTAAACTAGTACACTTGGTGTGTCAGTGTGAAAGTGAAACAACTTGGCACAGGTAGCGCTATATGAAGCAACAACAATTTAATGATGGCCCACATCATTTAAAAGTTCTGCAGGACAACACACACAACTACAGCATCTCATTTCTGCTGTGGATACATATGGAAAATACAGGTGCACCCTTTTATCACGCTAAATACACATTAACAGGGACATCTAAATGTTGGCCATGCTGCTTTTGTCCAATTCTAAATACATCCATGGAGGCAATATATTTGGAAATTGCCATTTTTTTAATATCTTTTTTTTGTATTGGGCAGAATACAACCATTCTTTTGTAAAACTGATATGTCTACGTAAAATTCTATGGATTTCTACCCAGAAAACTAAATTATTGTGACAGAAATAATCACCTAAGATCAGAGAGTAACAAAAAGGAAAATTTTAACAACAGACCAGATTACATTTATATCAAGAGAAAATTTGAATTGAAGGTCTATTTATGTATTTGTTTCGCATGTTTGATTGGTTTCTTCTTCTATATGTTATTTTTTGCATAATGTATAAAATGACATATCTATTTTCTTTTGCTTTCTTAATAAGTCATTCTGAAACTTGTGAGAATTGCTACAAATGATCCTGTTGTTTCTGCGACTCTACATAATGGTATGCTGAAAAAATATGTGGAAGTCTGGTGCTGGTAGTACTGATAGCATAAATTATACTGTCATGCTCATCCTCCATTTGTTAGAAAAGCAAACAGAGTATTAATTGATCTTCCAGAGTTGTGGTAGTGCAGTTAGCACTTGAAATAAAAGATTTATTGGCTGTGGAGGAGCCAAAGACATGCCTACAGAGTAGGACAGGGTGATATGCCCAAAAATATTTGTCACAACATAAATAAGAAAATTTGCGCTAACGATATAACTGACGATACAATTGACACTTAAAAAACTGCACAACTTTATTGGTGCAAATAAAAAAAGAACTATTTCTTTTCCATTTAGCAAGCAGCTGTTTATGATGTGCATTAAAGTGATATTGTACTAAAATCAATAGTGTACAAGTTGTAAATTGCTTGCTGACAATTTGCTTAATCAAAAGGCATTTCAAATGGAAATGGCTGACAAATCCTGAGCATAGCAATGCATAGTATTCGGATCTCAAAATTGCTATCGGGACACCACCACAGCCCTACCGCGTCAGTCGATGCACTAAATTCACCCTCCTCCTCAGTCGCCCCCACGCTTCTCGCTCCATGTGCATTAGACCGGACGAAAACAACAGCACTGCGCGTTTCACTCAAATTTTATCGCGATATTTCAATTTCATATCATTCCCTAACATTACACCAGTACTACTGTGCACGGTATGATATGACCCAGCCCTTCTGCAGACGATATCAGAAACCGAGATTGGAACCATGCAGGCAGGGAGCTGAATAACCAAGTTTCTTCATGTTCAGTAGAAACATCACATTCTGACTGTGATCAAAATCAGGATAAGACACAAAACTAAGCTGTTCGAGAGGAGTCTGTGCAGTCTGCACCTGAGGTTAACTGGTTTACCCCAAGTTGCAGTACAGCAACTAGTGGCAACATCTAACATTTGAAAACTTTGGTTTCATTGTTGAATTAAAAGTGAGAAAACCGGTTTGTATTCCCATAAACGAAGGTCTTGTTTTGTACCAACACAGGTATGAAAAAAAAATAGCATTAGAATCACAAAACTTTCAAATGACACCCATGTAAAGGTTGTGAGTAGCTCTCTGTTGACTTAAGGGAAAAGTGAACACAGTTGTCAGATAATCAAACACTCAACCCCTGACATGGTGTGGATGTGAGAAGCATACCTCAGCAGTATGTTGATTTTAGGAAAGCCTTCCCACTTCTCCCGACACTCAGGACATTCGTTCTTGTGTGAGGACTCCCACCATAGAGCCAGACAGTGGCGGCAGAAGTTATGGCCGCAGGTTAGGGTGGTGGGGTTGACTAAGATGTCATAGCAACAGTGACATGAGAATTCATTTTCTGAGATGCTGCTCGTTGACAGCTTTGACTGAGGAGATTCAGACAAGTAAGGGGGCTCATCCATTAAGTCTCCCAGGCCGTCATCCGCTGAATCCCACTCCATCTGGTCGAACATATCCAAGTCTGAAGGGCAGGAGAGGCAATGGTAATTAGGACCAAAGGGCACAAGTGATATCATTTTAAAGAATAAGCAAAATATGCAAAAGCAAAAGCTTCACAGAGACCAATAATTAAAGGACCATACCATACTATTTTTTTCAAACCATACAGTTGTATTTAAGATTTCTTATGTATTTGTCAAGGAATGCATTTGCTGTCATTCATTTCTTTACATTATGATAGCATCAGTAAACTATTGGAACTGTCCTGGGTTGTGTAACATCGAGGTCACATTATGTTGTGCCACTGCTTGACACTGCAGTAGAGGCTGCTTGGTTTTATAAATTAACTTCTCAGTCTTGTTTTTGATTCATCAACTATGTGCTTAAACTGGAAAACGTCAAAAAGAGAAAGTGTCAGTCCAAACCCAGCTTACAATCATATAAAACAAAGGGATATAATTCTTGCATTGGCAGTAATTAAAACCAGCAACTATTTTCATTTGATTATACAAGTTTGTGCTACTTTAATCCATAAATGCAACGTTTTAAATAAGTAATACAGATTAGATGTTCCCTGTGATGGATCTGACAAGGCAAGGGTCATGTTTGATTTCTATTCCATCGCAAATAAATGAACTAATTAGTACATCAATCTAAATTCACACTGCATTCGTTGTAAAATAGTCAAAGTGTACTGTAAATTAACCGTGCTGAGTGCAGTACAGCTAAAACTCCTCTGACACTGAGTAAATCTGACTGACATGGGATATAACTAAGTCATCTGAAGCAGTATTTCTGAGGAGATTCACAGGCAGATATACAAAACAAGCACCAATTCACTTTCATTTTTAATTTAGTTATAGTCTGAAGGAGGTGTGTCATGACAGCATTTCTAACACAAGGAGCTAAAAACAAACCAAATCGAGAGCTGCTCGAAACCAAAACCTAACAGAAAGAAAACAATGACTCAAGTCATATCTTACATACTTTGACAGCAACGTTAACTGCTCACATTCTGATGTGGACGCTAGCTTTACTCTGTCGCCGGCTAGCTAGTCGTTAGCTTCGAGCTAAGACAGCAACAACAACATTTACTGCTCTTCCGCGATGCAGCAGGAGCAGTTTACTGACACCCAGATGAACTCTCATTAGCTTGTGGACTGTTGTGCTAGTTAGCCTGCTAATGACAACTTAACGTTAGCTACTAGCTACCTTTGCTAACTTAGTAACGTAACTGCTTATCAGCGTCGTTCAGTACACTGACCCGGTCGCTGCTCGCCTCAGTGTTGTCCTCCGACAGCGGAGCAGCTGGAAGGTGACATGACTCTCCGGCTAACTAGCCCCCCCTGTTAAATGAAAGCGTCCCCGCGGCAGACAGATGTTTGCGCCTGAGTAGCCGTAGCCATGACTGCTGCTGTGGAAACCCCCCCGCACGCACACACGCACGCGCACGTCAGACAGTGTCGTCACTTGTCGCGCTCCTGATCTCACCTGGCCGAGGTGAGGAGGAGGAGGAAGAGGAGGAGGAGGAGGAACTGCGCCCGAGATCCCCGTCCCAGCTGCTCTCAGGCTTTTAAAAGCTTCCTCAGTTCAAAGTTCGGCTGTGATCGCGTCTGAGTTTCGGCTCCTTATTATCCGCACGGTGATAATAAAACAGTAACCTATTAACTTACACGTTGGCTCAGAGACCTGCTGGCTGAGGCACCTTTCCCCTCAACTCTCCACCTGAACACATGCTGAGGGACAAGACTGCACAGGGCAGAGAGTGACTAAGGACATTTATACTTCACCTCAGTGAGAAATTTACTTTTTACGCCCTCAGATTTACCGGTTGCTTTTAATTTAGATGATTAACATTGAATCAGCTAATAAATTGAGGTTTAGATGATCATAAGTTAAACAGTACATAAAGCAATGAAAGTTGGCCCTAACTTGTACTTATTGATGCATCAGGGATTTTACTTCTTGTACTTTAAGTTATATTTTGATGCTAATTTGTGTACTTTTAATTCAAATTTTTACTTGTACCAGAGCGTTTCTAAATTGTGGTTGCATTAAATGGAAAAGACACCCTTTCTTTTATCAAATCTGTATTGAACAGTACTTTTAGAAATGTTGTTCACTTGTTTTCACTTTGAATTTTGAGATCTGACTCAATGTAAGTTCTGAGTACTGGATGCTTACATTTTCAGTTTTAATCTCTGAACTTCACAAATAAACTGTGAATTTGGAAATTCAGACCATATAATTAGATCAATAACACAACTATAGTTAGTAGTTGTCTTTCGGAATAGATTTAATAGAAAAACAGTGAAATGAAGTTGTACATGTGTTGCATTGTTTTGGATTTCACCACCAGTTGCAGTTCTGATTGTGTTAGAATGGTCAGATGAACCAAATACTCATGCTGTGACTTGCTCGCAAAGTGTCAAAATGTAATTTTCAAAATCAGATGAAAACTGCATAATGTGGAGAAAACTGAGTCAGGAGTGACAACGGTGGGTTAACGCAACAAAACAATGATAAGCACCTACACACAATAGAATATGCAAGGTCTGATGTAATGAAGGCCACGCATCATAGAGATGCAATTTAACATTTATTTTTCTCCTCAGTCAGCAGACACCGTCCAAACTACTAAACAAAGGACATACAAAACATTTTAAATACAAGTTTCTGAAAAAATTCTCGTAGATTAATTGTGGGAACTGGACTTCCTTGAGTTTCTTGAAGACGTTTCTCCTCTCATCCAAGAGGCTTCATCAGTTCTGACTGACTTAGATGGGAGTTCCAGATACTTGTATCCTAAAGAAGCCAATTAACACCTGAGTTTGGGTTTCAATTGGGGGTTTGTTGCTCCTCCCCCTCATTATGTGAGTCATTAGTGCTCCTCCTGCCACAAAGGGGGTTGGTTTGGGTCTTTTGTGGCGAGGTGTGAATCATCTTCCTGGGGAGAGATCTTAGGACTGAACTGTAAACAGGTGAGAGGTGTTGAAAGATTTTATTTATTTACACTAGATGAGTGAGGAATCGGATATGGTAGCTGCTTTGACTTTGACTTGCAGCCTAAATCTTCACCATTATCAATAGGACTAGGGTCCCGGTGGGGGGCTGGAGCCTATCCCAGCTGATTGGTGTCCCCTGCCTTCACCCTGAGTCAGCTGGGATAGACTCCAGCCCCCCACCGCGACCCTAGTGAGGATTAAGCGGTGTATAGATCATGGATGGATGGATGTCCACCACTCCAGGGTTCAGATTTTATAAAGGGTTAAAATACTTCCACACCGAGAAAGACTACAACCAGAAGGTGGCAGCAACGCGGCGGTAAGGACTCCAACGAAGAAGAAGGTGGCGGAGGAGGAAACGGAGTAGAAGAAGAAGAACCGCTGTTTTAAAAAAAAAAAGAAAAAAAAAAAAGAAGAAGAAGTGGTGGCGCAACACAGTTAGCTAGCCTGGACTGTAGGGTTAGTTCATGACAGCTGCTCTCATCCGGAATAACGCTACAACTTAGCTCCGGTTACTGCTCATCCTAGTTTTCTTATGACATCCTTCAAACCCGACAGACACCTCGCACTATGTTTGAGGTAACGTAGACGACGTGGCTGCTGTTAAGGCTGCACAGCTGGCTGTCGTTTGATGGGATTTTGGATGTAGCTTAACTGTTACAGTTAACCAGCTAGGTAGGGGCAGTTCGTTAACCTGCGGGCAAATGAGAAACACCTCGCTTAGGTGTGGGTTGACTGCCGTGACATATTTAAAAATATTAAACTCTATATGCTCATACATGCAACCGACATTGTCATAGTAGCTTGAAGGCTAGCTAGTTAGCAAGTGGCGAATGTTATTAAACTAAAGCGGCGCCGCATTCATTAACATGCGTGTCACTTAATAATTCATCTACTGGCCCTGACTGACTAAGTGGAACTATTATTGTGTATAAAAGAAGAAAAATGTCAGACAGATTGTTGGTGGTGTCACGGATAATGTTGACTAACTTCACAAAATAGATAAACGTATTTAAATATGTTGTAACGTAATTACATTTGAGATGAGTGCCACTAGTATTAAAGCTCAGTCGTTTGTGCAGTTTGTTAATAGGATGCACACAAATACATCATAAAACTGACTCAAAACACTGTGGTGATATGTAAACACAGCAAATGCACACTTACACAAGAAACTCTTTAAACCTTAAATGTGATCTGCTAGATTAAAAAAAGTCGTATTATATGATCATATTCTAACTCATATACAAGTAAGACAGACAAAGATAGTGTCACAATAATCCTCTAGTGCAAGTCTGTTCTCATTGATTCAAACTAAGAATGCACCATGACATCATCGGCTGGTAAAGGCTTTAAAATGAATGGATCAGCTTCAGTTCAAAGTGTACACTGACTAGGAGATAATGGCTAAAAGTTGACAGCTTTGTTTAAAAAAAATGTCCCATAAAATAAATGCAACGTGTTTTACAAGCTGAAGTAGTTTTCTTGTTTTGCTTTGTGATTGTGTACATTTGTAAAGCATTGTGTTTTTATGTCCGCACCTCGCAGTGAGCAATGACGACAAGAGCAGGCATATTAATGTGTTAATTCCTCTACGTCAGGGTTTTTTCCTGCCGTAGAGGAATTTTTTGGCAGCCCCCTAAGAGGTTTTAGCCAGAACCAAAGCAAAACCAAATGCTCCTGAATATTAAGAAATGAGAACAGGAGAAAATGGACATTATTCAAGTGTATTAGATATTTCGTGCTTACTGTTGATGGTTGTCTTCCCCATTTCCAGGAAGGAAAAGCCTTGTGCAGGAGAGGCTGGATGTTCTCTGCAATTAGATGGAAAAAAAATGTTTGCTTTTGTTGGTATTGGCAATCAGCCAAAATGAGTTGGAAAGTAAAATGGATATCAGCAAAAGTGTAATTCTGTGCATCCCTTGAATATGCTCAGGTAGAGTAACATATGTTGTTATAAGCAGCTGCAGTAACGAAGAGAGATACAGAACATGATTGTAATATATAATTCTGACTTGGTTTTAAGGATGGTTATCATCAGGTATTGTACTGATTATTATTACTTTAATACCCTAAACCTGTGAGTGCTCTCTTCAAATAGCTTGATTTCAATTGGCAACAACATAAAAGAAAGTAAGGCAGCATATTCTGACAGCTGAGAAGCTTGAACTGGGTAACATCTGGCAATTTTCCTTTATAAAATTACTTAATTATCAATTGTTGCTGATCAAATCGTTAATGTTTGAATTCTACTCTCAAATGTAATGACACATTTGTGAAATGAATTATCATTGGAATAGCAGACAAATGTGTCAAGAGCTGTTGTTTGTGTTTTTGCATGTTTAGTGCGTCACTACTAATGTTCCCTCTTTGATGGACGCGTCTTGAAACAGAGCGCTGTTGATTTAACTTACTGTGGCTGTAGTGTGTTGTGCTGCTGAATTGCACTGTGTTGGTATTTTTAATATTTTAGCCTGATGACATCTTTAAATGCAACAAAAAGTGGACGTTGTCATTTTCACAAAGAACAGATTTATAACAGGAATAAGTGTTAAGTAAGTGTACTTAAAGTGATTGCAGTGATTTGAAATATGTTTGCATCACGCCACATTATCGATACGTGACAATGCAGTGCAGACTTTTCAGGTTAGTCTGTGCTTATAGCGTTGTTATCACACACTGTAATAATCAGAATTCAGACAATAAAATTTGATTTGACATTAATTGCCATGGATTATCTAACCTGAGCAGTTTTCAAGATTTGCAAATTAAACATTTCTACTGACACAGAAATAGATCTTTTTCACAGCAGACACTTTGACGTGTCGCAGCAGGAAAATCAGAAGTGTTAAATAATAATGACAGATTTCTACGTAGGTGAGCTAGTTTAGGGGTCCTGCTATTGTGCTGTCTAGCTTGCTGCCATGACTTAAAGGGACACTTAATAGGACAAAGCCATTGTTAACAGAATTTGTTTCATTATCTGCTATGAAGAGTCATCATGTCTCCCATTCAAAAGGCTTATTGACACTTGTGGTTACAAATCAAGCAGCAAATGTGCTAAAAAACATCTGGCACGGTCACATCCCGGTGATTTATTTTGTCATACACGTCAAATTTGAACAGCTAAATGGTAAAAAAAAACAAAAAAAAACTGTTGAGACTGAGTTGTAACAGCAACTAGGAGATGTATAACATTTTAAAGCTTTACAATATCTTTAATTTTGTGAATAAACTGTGGTCAAAATGGCTGCAAATGTCGGCAACAAAGGCTGAAAAAAATGTATTTAAAAAGCTGAAGCAGACCATCAAAGAAACACAGTCAAACAACAAACACCTGAGAGAATCACACACCCTGTAATTAATGAATTACCTCCAAAAAAATGACGAAAGCAAAGTGTCTCAGCATCAGTAGAATATGAATAGAAACAGAAAATGTGCCGTAGACACAAAACAAGAAACATGTATTAAGGTAAACATCCACCTGTTTGATTTGATTTAACTTTATTGAACTGTTACGGTCAGTGATTTGAGCATACATATGTTGTTGCTTCGTATTTTAAAATTCATGCCTGGCACAAGTCTATGTACCTGCTGCACCTTATACAGTATAAAGTTAGACATTTACTGCGGCGTTAGTTGTTTAACCTGAAACCAACGGTGTGAGTGTATATTAGGTTATAATGGCCTCACTCAGTATTATTCTTTGCATATAGAGGTTTTAGAAAACATCAGCTGTTTCTGCCACATCAAACTTGTACTGTCATGGAGGATTTTTTTTCCTTTCTTTGTTGCCAACACGCAGCCGCACATCTCAGAGGTTTCTCTTAGCATTGATCATTTGTGTTTTAATAGGATCCTGAACTCCAAGATCCGCTGTCACTGAGTCTAAATGAAAACTATGGCGACCAGACTTCACCGCATCAGGAGCCAAAAAAAGCACCAGCAAGCCCCGACTATAACTGTGAGACGCCAGAGATCCGAGTAATCATCAAAGAGGAAGAGGAAGGCTGGACTGTGAGTGAAAATCGTGAGTGGAAAATCTTAAATATCAGCATTACTTTACTGTATGATTTACACGGAGTTGTGCGTTTGTGATTTTTCACTTTTTTTTTGTTTTGCCTGTTACTAATAAACACAGATGAGGGCTTCAGCTCAGAGGGAGAAAAAGAAGATTCTTCTGCAGACATTTGTCTTCCCCACCTCAAAGCATGCGAGAAGGAGAGCTCTGTTTCACATGGAGTGAAGAGACACCAGAGAGTGTATCCTGCGGAGAAATGCTCGGAGGAGTCTGGTGGTGGCCCCGCTGTCTATGGGCAGAGCTCCACTGCCAGAGAAGGGCGGCAGAGACACGTGCTCATAGGCTCTGAGGAAAAACCTAAGATTTCCTGTGTACGTGGCAAGACGCCGGGAAATGTGACTGTGCATCAGTGCAATAACACGGGAGAGAAACCCTTCTCCTGTCCAGTACGTGACCCGACCCCCGGTCACAAAACGAACATTAAGTCCCATCAGAGGAACGATGCAGGGGAGGAATGTTACGCCCAAGATGAGAGCACATCTTTGCACACAGAAGCAGAATTACATCAGACCAAAAGATCAGCACCTTACCAAACCGTATGTTGACACAGTTTTTGTGATTATTTATGCAAAGTTATGCAACCATTAATGTTGACATTTTTTGTCTTCTTTTTTTCTCATGGTAGTTTTTGTACTTATCTAGGAGTGGAATGTTTTGTTCATTGGTTGTTTGTGAATGCATTTTAGTGATGTAATAATGGGCCTCATGCAAGAACCACTGGTCTGTCTTGAAGTCAGCCCTTCTGAGATCCTGTCCTGCTGTGTTTTCAGTCTGAGTGATGTGTGTTCTTAAGTTGTTCTGTTCTTCGGCAGTTTGAATTCGAAAAAAAGTTATGACATTTTAATGCAACGCTTCTGTTTTTGTTGTGGACAGTTTTTGTCTATTTAGCTCCATTGGGTTGATAGCAACAAAAAGAGGGAACGCTGTAACACATTGTTGAACAGGAGGACTGTGGATTTTTTCCGGCACCACTTAATTTGTAAGAAGGCATCTTTTATGTCCAGTACGTGGAGGAAGAATAATTGCAGCATACTAAGCCTGTTTCAATATTCACATGGGTACCTGACTATTGTTTTAAGACCTAATTGAAGATGGCTTGTACAAGCAGTTTAAGAGAATTTATGGTATTCACCAGTTTTCCCATGAACAGAAGTTTTGTCCTTGGTACAAACTAAATTCACAGCCCTGTTGCACACGTCATGGACAGAAACAACTGCTAGGAAAATACTCTGTTGCACCGAGCAGTGTAACGTCACCTACTGTAGGCTACAAAGACTTCTTGATTGTCACATTAACTTGACTGAACTCCTGTTTGTCATGGACCACTTTCCATTACGTACCATCTAATTCCACATAAACGATTCTTTCTTGATGTCACTGTACAGAACTGTGGTGATGATACACCGTTAGCAGCTGTGATTCTATGAATAACAAAGATCCTCTATTTATTTAAAGTCTGACCACAGCACTTTTGGTTCCACAGTGATTACTTGGTACCATTTGGTGCGATCATAAAGATTCTAAAAGGCAAAAATTGTACTTGGTTTAAATTTGATTGCCACATCCTTTGAAATCATCTCCCTGTGCACTGATGCGCAGCTGCCAGCACTCCTGCCACATGTGGAACGCTCCCTGGAAGTCCTGTTCTGTTAGTTCATTAAGCACCATCTGTGATGAGTGCTGAATCTCCCCCACTGTGTCAAAAAGGCCATCCGTCAACTTGAATGTCCCTGTGAGGAGGAGGAGGAGGAGGAGGAGGAGGAAGTTGCATTAAGCCAAATCTTGTGAGTCGGGCTGGTGGAGAGCAACAATTGCATTGTTGTGGGCAAAAAAACCTGTTAAATCAACGTGGTGTGAGGATGGATTCACAGTGCTCAGCTCTGTGACCTGTTGAGGAAAATGACAAGCATGCTCCTGGTCCAAACGTGATGGCCCTTCTCTGGTCTCTTCTACTGTGAAACTCCTGTCATGTTGCTCAGTGGTAGACACAGAACCCCATCTCATCACCAGTGGCGGATCATTGTGGCTGCAGATGTTTGTTCTCTGCTCTCGTTGAGGTTTATGGTGAAATAGCAAATGTGCACCAACTAGTGGTCACGATAAAGCGTGTAACATCGCGTGTAGCTATGCTCCACTCTGTTCATGCTCAACAGGCAGCAGCTTCAGAACATTTTGATTGCACCTTGTTTGAGTCCATTTTGCTCATGATGAAATCTTCAGATGTGTACCTCCTTACAAACAGGCAGCAATAATTAAGCTGAAATGAGGCGTTGGTTGAGCAATTGAAAGTGTTCGGTGAATCAAACTTAAAACACTTGATAAAAATATGAAAAGCTTTTTGCATGAGGCCTGTTAACTTTTTAAAAATATATATATAACTGCTGTTTTTTAGCTTTTTCTTTACTTCCTCTTGTGCAATTTGCTTGGTGGGTTAAGACACGGCAAAAGTTGCATAAAATGCCTCTCAGCTCTTTGTTCTCTGTCTAGGATTCACCTGAACGTAAGCACCAGATACCACATGGACTCAAAGTAGCATCCGCAACCTTAAACGACCAAACTCTCCATCTGACTGTCAGACTGCGGGCGGGGGAGGAGGACGAAGAAGAGGAACAGGATGAAGAAATTGGAGGTTTAATCAACTCTGATGGAGAAGTGGTTGAATGGGATGCCAGTGAGTAATTCAGAACAGCACTTTAACTGCATACCCACGACTTATGCAAGCAGGACACATTTGTTTACTTGGGCCCATTCTTGTTTCTGTTTCTCATGACAATTTCAGAGTTGAGCTGATTATGAATATTTGAAGTAGCAGTAAAAATACAGGATGTGGTCTGGAAATTTGCAACCAAATACATTTTAAACATTTCTAAAACAAGACTTTTTTTTTTTAACTTTATGAGAACCCTGTGTGGCCGTAGCTCACAACATTAGTAGAGTATGTATTTAGTTTGACATTACCCTGGTGTTAATCTTCAACTCGGTGGAATGAAGGATGTCAGATATATTTGAACCTAAGCCAGCTATCTTGGTTTTTACAGGAGACAGTCCTGACCGAGGCTCTGATTGCACAGAGGGTCCTCAACCTAGCAAGGTAATTTGTTTTAAGGTTTAATCGATCAGTTTAGTGATACAAAGGATTCACAATACAGCGGTGAGCCAGACCTGAGTCACCAGAGAGAGTCCGCATTCTGACTGCAGGGTAGATAAATAGACATGATTACTAAATAACTGTTAAGTTTAGTTGTACGATGCTACTCTGTTCTGCCTCCGACCTCACACAGATAAAGAAAACAGCCACTGAATAGTTTGGATTACATCCTATGGCTCCAATTATAAAATGCTTTTATTTTTGTACTCTGTTGACAGGCTTGAGTCCTGTCTCTGCTGAAGCTGTGTTTCTGATGTTTTTTTTTTTATTGATTGTGATCACAGGGTGTCGTCCTGCCTGACTCTCAGCTGCAAGGCCAAAGCCAGCGGGACAGCAGTAGTCCAACGCTCATCATGGAAGTTGTGTCCGTGGGAGAAGATGAAGAAAGAGACGAAGGGGAGGAGAAAGAGAGAGCAGTAAAGACGCCACCCGCCTCGCCTTTATACTGTGGTAAAGACAAGTGAAGACAAAAATGAAAACTGGTAAATAATCAATGCGATTGCGTTCTGAGGTCGTCTTTTTCCACGTGTGAGCAGGAAGGAGACTGAGGAGAAAGAAAAAGATTCCAGTGGTATCTTTGGATAACTCAGACACAGAGAAAGAAGTTCCTGCAAATGCTGGTGGGTGACTGGAAGCATCCAAGAATTTTCCAGTTCATTGCAATGTACAGCAGATTGACAGTATCGGTTGAAGTCCTACACATGGAGGATTCAGTAGACTGTTGTGTTTTATTTTTATATTAAGCATCTATATATACGTTTCTTTCTACATCAATAAACATGCTGTTTTTTTTTTTTTTTTCTTTACTTCTTTCAAAAGCAAAGAGAAGAGGAAGAAGAAAGATTTCTCAAACTCCAGTGTCGTCTGCGGAAGACTTGGACACAAATCCAGGAAGTGAGTGTCTGGTGCTTTAAGTCATCGTTACACATCTGAAATGAAAATTTTGTAGGAAACTGTTTTGTTATAATTTGTCCTTTTTTATCTTAAAGTGTCAAGGCGTACCCGAAGAAAGACAAGTTTGCGTACCAATACAAAACCAGAGGAATCAAACCTAAAAACTGTCCGCCGTGCTGCTGGTAAGACAAGGCTGGGTATCCTTTCATTTAGCTAACTCCGATTCTGCTCATTGATCCTGGTTCATTGCATATTACCTGCGCAAGAAAAGGATACAGGTAGATGTGTTTTTTTTTTTTTTTGCCAGTGGATCAGTTCAAAACCGTGTATGTCAGGGTGATAAAAGATGAACAAGGAGTGTTCATCAGAGGAAGAAGTGTTTGTAATTGCCATCAAACTTCCAACAGATCGCCAACAAAGGCAACATCTTTGAACTATCTGTTACCTGGAAGACCACATAAGGAAAATATGTTTTTAAGTCCTGGCTCTAATCTACCGTATTATCAACAACACATACACAAGCTTCAGCATCAAGATCTGATGAGCAGAGCTGGATATTTCTTAATAATTTATGGTTCCTAAAATGTTTGCCTTCCACATATGAACCATTTCTCAAGGACAAGCCCTTAGTGAAGTCATTTTTGTTGTTCTGTTTTACAGCAAAGCGGCCTTATAGAAGACGGAAAGATAGCAAACCATCTGCTGACGGAGACGGCGAAAACACAGGCACTTCAGCTGGTAGGAGCAAATAAACCAGCCCCTCAAGAGTGTGCAACCAGCTCAGAGCGCAGTTGCTGCTAATGCTTGGAAAATCCTTAGCCATGACCACTAGTTTACCAAAGGAAGGAAAAAGTGGCTGTGTTTAAACTCTCTTCCATTTTTTTTTGTGTTACCTGGCAAAGTTGGGTAAAGTAACGGTATTACTGCTGTGGTAGCTCAGAGTTAAATATACCTGATGCACTTGAAACTCTGTAGCTGCCAGGTATTTTCCATTAATAAACACATCCCAGCAAGTCAGGTCACAGTAAAAGCATTGATGTTGGAATTTTCCAGTGTTATTTAAAGCACTCGCACACACACACAAGACACTCTGCAGAAGATGGAGTATTTTTCATGGTCATCCAAATTCAGGGCTAGCTGGGGTTCTAGACCCGTTGTTACAGTCCCGACCTGTTTCATCTATAAGCAAAAAAAACAAACATAAATTCAACAGCAGCTTTTTAAACATAGAAGTGTGGATATACACACTATCATATGGGAAGAAAAATGATTGAGACACACTAATTTGTAAATTGTAAATTGAGGGGCAGATGCAGTGGCCAAAATAACATAAAAAAAAGATACCAATACAGTGTATATGTTTGTGCATCTCTTAGTTTCTTTGCCTCCATATGGAGACATCAACATGTCTACATCTGGAGATCCAAAGGGTTTTTGCCACAGTTCTCTTCACCTAGACAAAGCCAAGGTGAGAATGTGTAGAGTGGGTGACTATGACCAATCTGAATCTTTCTTTAACATGAAAGGGTACATTTATGTGTGAGTTACAAACTAGTTTCATGAAGTGGGTTGAGTTACTGCCAGTGACAGAGTAATGGTACTGACACAGAATCTGTTTGATATGTGATTAGATTTTATGAATTTTACACGCTCATTTGGCAAGCATTAAGCTAACAGCCTAACCTTGTCTTTTTTTTTTTTTTTTTCCCGTCACATAGGCAAGAAGCGTCCTGGCAGAAAGATGGTTCGTGTGCCAATAGAAATACCTCCTGAGCTCCTGAAGAAGCCCAAAGAGAAGATTGAGTACCACTGTTCAGTGTGTGGCAAAGAATTTCCTCATGCCTACAAACTAGAGAGGCACGAACTGATCCACACAGGAGAGAAACCATACTGCTGCTCCATCTGTGGCCGGGGCTTTAACCAGAAGGGGAATCTCAAAACGCACTACAAAGTGCACTTAGGTGAGAGATGATAGTTAAATGATACTTCAGAAGTACTATAATTTTAAATATATAGATATGTATAGTCTTGTTGCCAGCAAATTCCATAAAAAGATCAAAACCAACAATGATTTTGCCCGACTAAGTGTTGCCTATGTAGTTAAAACCCAATTTAGTCCTTGTTTCCACAGAACTTAATTTTGGTCCAAAAATGACTAAAAACATATCCATGAGTCACACTGTTGCACTGTTTCACTTCTGTGTACATGGGCGCTACATTTGGAGTCAATCCCAAACATAATGTCCTGATGCACAAATACTTGGTAGAGCATGAGAAGTATATTCATCTACATACTATCATCAGTAACACTGGCTACACACTCCAATGCCCGGTTGTTTCAGGAAATAAATATCCTTAGTAAAATTAGATGATATATGTGTGACCCATTTTTTAAGATTGTTGTATTCCATGGTAGAAACTGATCTTGGTGGACCACAGACAGGCTAAAAAGCATTACTAATTCAACATTTAATTTGTTCTTTACTTGTGATTAGTTGGCAATAACAAAAGTATAAAATGTTTAATTTGTTAACCATTTATAACTGCCACTTCAGTTACTTTCATTTTTACCTTTTGAGAAAAATATAGATGGTAATCACTCAACGGAACACATTAAAAAAAATGTTGTCATATATATAGTAATCAGCCACAACATTAAAACCACCTGCCAACTGTTGTGTAGATCCCCCTCAAGCCACCAAAACAGAATTTTTGGGGCATGAGGGCAGGACCTCTGGGAGTGTCTTGTGGTGTCTGGCACTGGCATCCTTTAGGTCATGTGGGTTGCAGGGCAGTGCCTCTTTTTGTTGCATCATGCAGATACTCAGTTGGATTGGAATCTGGAGAGTTTGAAGGCTGGGTCAACACTTTGAGCTTTTTGTTCCTTGAGCCTGAACAGTTTTGTGATGCATTGTCCTGTTGGGGGGGGGGGGAGCTGCCATTTGGGGGTGCTTGGTCTGCAACAACGTTTAGGTTTCCCAGCAGAAAATTGCATCATAACAAGATAAAATTATTCACTTCACTGGGTTTAATGTTATGGCTGATTTCTGGATACTCTATGTAGCTTAAAGTAAAACATGAGTGATGCTAAAATTGTAATCTGAAAAGGTGAAGAGTAAAACACAGGGTTGCCTCTCATTTTTTCTGCGTAGGTCGTAAGGGTGCTGTGGATTTTGATGATGAGGTGAATCCAATAGCATCAGAACTCTCGGAATACTTGAAGTCTCTGCCTGGGGAGTCGAGGATTCGATCATCCCTGCGGTGCCTGGAATGTGGCAAAGACTGTGAGAGTCAGTCAGCTTTACAAGCACACCACGTTACCACACACACTCCGACAGCTTCTGAATCCGATGCAGTCGAACAGAGTGCGTCGCAGCTTCTTTTCTGCCGCCGCTGTGGCGTTCAGTTCAATGAAAAAGAAAAGCTGGAAGAACACATGAAGACCCACGTCAAGGAGAAACCCTACTCATGTCCTGACTGTGGCAAGAGATTCATCAATGAAAGCTACATACAAATCCACCAACGCATCCACACCGGGGAGAAACCGTTCCTCTGCTCTCAGTGTGGCAGAGGTTTCCACACAGCGTCCTCTCTAAAGCTGCATGAGATGCAGCACTCTGGGGAGAGACCATTCGCATGTTCCATCTGTGGGAAGACATTTCGTATTAACTCCTACCTAACGGCACATTATCAGACCCACATTAAAGACAGACCTTTCATTTGTAGCGTCTGTGGGAAAGGCTACTCCAGAGCTGAGGAACTGAAGGTACACCATAGGCTTCACACTGGAGAGAGACCCTACGAGTGTGGAGAATGTGGGAAGAGCTTCATTTATCGCCAGGGTCTGCGGCAGCATCAGCGCACACATGCTGGAAGACGCATCGGGCCGACCAGGCAGCTCGGTAGACCGAAACAGCAGGCCAGGCTGGACATCTAACAGTTACTCTCTTGATGCGTTTTTGTTGTTAACTGTGTTTGAAAAATATTGCAGTAAATTGCTCCTCTTTCTTGTTCTTCTTCCTTCCATTCCTCCAACATACAGCTGAGAAGATTACTGCAACTGAAAATATGCGCTACAGATTCAGTGTGGGTATCCAAGAATAATTTGGACGCTTACCGTGTTGTCTTTCTTGTATTCATGTTTTGTACCCATGTTTTCATGTTTACTCTTCTCTCGTAGCCCATCTGTACAATTTGAGTGCCTTTGTATCCTGCATGCCAAATACTAATACTTAATGTTGAAAAAAAAATATGCACTATATCCTTGTTATTTTAAAATCATGGTTGATGGAATACAGACATTTTTCAGAAACACGTCTGGTTTTTTTTTCTGCATTTGAAACAACACATCCTTATATTATTAAATACGTACCAAGGTTTTTTTTCCTGCTGCAAGGTGGCACAGCTGGTAGTGCTGTTGCCTCACAGCTAGAAGATCCCAATGGGGGCATTGGGATCTTGCACATTCTCCCCGTGCAGCGTGGGTTCTCTCTGGGTTCTCTGGTTTCCTCCCACACGGTCCAAAAACATGTTGAGGTTAATTGGTGATTCTAAATTGTCCGTAGGTGTGAATGTGAGTGTGCTTGGTTGTCTGTCTCTAAGTGTAGCCCTGTGGTGACCTGTCCAGGGTGTCTCCTGCCTTCACCTTGAGTCAGCTGGGATAGACTCCAGCCCCCCGCGACCCAAGTGAGGATTAAGCGGTGTATAGATAATGGATGGATGGTACATTAAGACTTTAAACTTGGTCTTTGAAAGTTGATTGCAAATTGCAGTATAAATTTATGATTTACAAAGAAAAAAAAACTTGCATTTTTGGCAGAATAAATAAATGAACACATCTTTGAAAACTTCTGATTACTTTATATATGTTTGTTGGTCAGAACTTGTACTTCTGTACTTTAAAGCAGACATTTATGATCTGTCTACTGGATTACAAAATGATCATAGTGTTGTTGCTCCTGAAACCACTGTTGAGTATTTTACTTGTTCATGCATAATATATGTTTAGTAACTTATAGCAGGGAAAGCGCAAACGCGGTTGAAAAATGATGCCTTTTGTCCTTTTTGACTTACCGTAGCGTCTCCTGCATGTTCTCGCTCAGTCAGGCTCAAAATCTTCAGCGCGCAGCTTCGGGGGAAAGTTTGCAAACACAATGACAAGAAACCACCACAATGAACAAACCGCCTGTTCCTCCTCTGCTGACAACAGCCTGCACGGCGGAGACGAGTGACCAGCAGGAGTCCGTCTCAGAAAACCGAGAGGAAGAACTGGACCGAACCCGGACTAGAATCAACATCGGACGGGCTTTTCGGAGGTGGAGGAAGCTACGGGACGTGAAAGGATTCAAAACCGATGCTGAGATAGCGACATTCCTGCTGGACAGGTGATGACTTCTGCGTGATGTAATCTGTGAGATTAGATTATGCAAAAATAGAATCTCACAGCTGTGTGACCGGAACCGTCCAGATGTTGTGTTTGTGTTGTTGCAGTCGGCCAACGTTAGCTTGTTGTCAATGCTAAGGCTACTGCTAGTTACACTGAGGAGAGATGAAAATATCCCAATATTTAAAGACAAAGTCCTTGTAGGCAAGTCTCGCCGCTTGGCAGCCATCTTTGGCAACGACCCCAGGCAGGTGTTTTGGACCCACAGAACCAGAACCTATTTAAATGAACGTGGACAGAACCGAAACTGCCTGTATCATGGCACCTGTCAAATCTAGAGGGGGGAAAAAAATACTGAAAATGTTTTGGGACTTTGCCCTAAAATAATTAGTTCATATAATAATAATAATAATAATAATAATAATAATAATAATAATAATAATAATAATAATAATAAATGGGCAACAATGTTGATATTTCACAGCAGTAAAATGACACCTCAAATCTATTCATATCCTTCCATTAAAGAAAAAGCAAAATTCATAAGAGTCACTCAAATAACTAGAAACTGAAAAAAGTAATGATAAATACAAATTTGCTAAATTATAATTTAATGAAGTAAGACATTGCTTTTTGAATTGTGATGAAAAGAATAATTTAAAAAAAAAAAAAAAAACGACAAATCAGAGCACTTTGCTGATGAGCAGTGAACCAGAACACCTGTCAACAGGTGCAGAAGTCTGACGGAGAGTTACAGGAAGCACTTGATTGCAGTGATTGTCTCAAAGGGTTGTTCAACAAAATATTAGTCTACGGGTCCCATCATGCTTGTTTGCTTGTGTGTTTTTATCTGTTTAATATTTCTGTTGAACCACAATTCAAAAGAAATGTCATGATTTTCATTACATTTTTATTTATTATTACTTTTGTCAATTTCAACTTATTTCAGTGACAGCTGATTTTTTCCTTCTTTATGGGAGGGTGTGAATACATTTGAGGACGACATCATCTATCTATATATATTCATATATATATTTATTTCTTGTGTGTTTTATTCTTTCTTCTTCTTTTTGTTTCGGTCTGGTACTGCCTGTTATACTGTGTATAATTGTGTTTGTGACCAATAAAGGCCTTGAATCCTTGAATTCACTCATGTGTAGCTCCATCAGCTGTGGCCTTGGACACTTTCCAGGTTGGAAATGTCAAAATACGTCCAGATGAAATCAATGTGCTTTATTTGAATTGATCTCAGCTGCAGGTTCTTCAAGTCTGCATAAGCCTGCAGTTAATAAGCTGATAATAACCCCTGGCATGTCAGGAGGTTACATCTCAGGTTGATTTATTTATTATTTGAGAATAAACTGACCAATGATGCATTGACTTGCTTTCTTCCAGATATCAGGCAAATTCTTTGGCTGCAGCATCGACACCAACGAAACATAGGAGGTAAGAAAATGTTTGTAGCCTCAGCGGTGCACAATTGGAAAATCGGGGGCACGTGATAATTTATGCAGGATGTGAAACAGATGGTTTAATCCTCGTGTACTGCCTTCAATGTGTGACACATCTGTAACCAGTAATAGTTTCTCTGGATTGTAGTTTGACCTCCATCAACTGCTTTTCTGCAGAGATGATGGGGGTTGCAGAGAGGTGAACGAAATTGCCGTCGAGGTTTTAGATACAAGGTACGTTCTTTTAAATTGACCTGGTCATAGATGATGACCATCATCGCTGGATATGAATAGCTTGTATGTTTACTTTTTGCCAGACAAAAATAGAATATTTAAGTCTCTGGAAATGTACATTTCTATAACTTTTAAAAATGTTTTTAGTCCGTCATCGCCAGACATGCACGATGACTTCAACAGTATTCAAAACTCAGAGTAAGTCTTTAACATACACGTTTTATATGAACTTTGATGTGTCGAGTGTCTAATATATTTGACCGTCTGTGTAGAATTGACTGGACAGAGGACGAGACGTGGGCTCCGGTCGAGGACACAGAAGATATTTCAGCTTCAGAGGAAGAGGAAACAACGGAGGAGGACGATCACAATGACGACAGTGATGATGAAGACTACGTCCCCCCTTTGTGTGTTCGGTAAGTTCTCCACCAAAAGTTCTGTTTCATGAAAGTTAGTTTCTTTTCTCATTGCTTTCTTTATTCCTACAGAACTGGAACTGGTGCCATTAAAACCAAAATATGTCCAGATGCTCTTCAGTCTGTCAGCAAGGATGAAACTGTGAATGATGCTGAAGATGAAGAGAAGATAAAGCAGCCACCAGTGACAGGAAAGATTCCAGAAGTGCAGAGTGAGGATGAAATTATCGATAATCTTGCGAATGTGTTCACCAGGACTGTTTAAAACTGCTGTCAGAGCTGCACAGTCAAAATCATCCAACATAATTCAATTTAAATGAAATTTGTATTTGAAAGTTTATTTGAGACGATTTCAGAAATTTTGATGATGTTTGATGAAATGTTTCACAAATCATTTAATCAGTGAAGCAATAACTGTTAGCTGTGTTACTTCATCAGTTGCTGTAATATTTTATTGATTCTGATTTATTTGTTTATACAGAAAACATGCCTTGCAATCAGCTTGGGAACCAGAAAAACAAAGCTGCTGAGATCCACCACCAGGTGAGAGAGAGAGGCTGCATCATCTACACGTAAAAATAAACTTACCACATGGTTACATATTTTACGTTGTACGGGACTAAAACCCACATTTGTCTAAGTGGAGAGCAACAGAGGGCCACCAGGCCTGTGGTTTGAGGCATGTAGCAGTAAGTGAAGCTAAACTACAACAGAATTTTTGATTTCACGAGAAACTCTGTGATAAAATCGCTGTCACTAGTTGATGTGATAATTCAGCTTCATGGCATTTTGTTGTGTGTTTACTTCTTAACTCTCTGAACTCCACTTTCTCGGCGTTTTGTGCCCAGAACACATTTTTAGTCACTGTGGGTTCATTTTTTTTGACTCCAGTATAAAGTCCTTCATCTGTATGGAAACAGCACAACCATGACTCGAAGTAGCGAGAACTAAAAAAAAAAAAGTTTTCTGTGCAGGATGACATAGTTATAATGCCTTAAACCATTAAAGAGGAAAAAAGTTTCATTTTTGATCTTGAGAATTTGATTAAAAAAAACCTGGAGTCAGCACATGCAACATTTTTCCAAGTGCCAGATGTTGATGTAAATGTACAATCGAATGGCTGCTGCTGTCATTTTTGTTTGTTGGAGATTTTTGGAGATTAGCCGAATGGTTTAAAAAATGATTTAGTGCAGCAACATTTCAGTTGTTGTTGCTGTGTTTAGGAAAGATGAAAACTCCAGCTATGTTTTCAGAAACAGGTCAGTTTTGTGGAGGTGCCATCACAGTGGTTACTGAGAATTTAAACCGTTTTTGTGTCTACAGCACCTGAACAAAAGGAGAGCAGAGCTAAGTCACCGTGAAGAACACAGCCCTGGAAGACAACACAGCACCTCCCCATCTGAGGAGCCAAAACAGTCCCAGGGGTTTCGCAGGCCACACAAGACCTACAAATGTCCAACGTGTGGAAAAGTGTTCCCTCGTAACCAAGCCCTGAAACGCCACCTGGTGATTCACTCAGGAAAAAGACCTTTCAAATGCTTCATATGTGGAAGAGGATTCACTCAGAGTGGAAACCTCAAAACACACATGAAGGTTCACAGAGGTACGAGTTCCTCCTGTCCTTGTAAACCTTTACCTCTTCCACAGACTCTGTGAAATCCTCTCAGGTGTTTTTTATTCTAGTAAAGACAAGTTACATTGATCTGACCTTGCATTTCAATACTGTTTTCTTATGCTCAGAAGTGCTGTTTTATCATTTTAAATTAATTGTTAATTGGATTCTCGTTGGCCTGGTCACAGAACAAATATTGTACCTTTGCAACATGTTTGGGTCGTTAAGGTGCTAACCATTTGGAGGATTAGTTGGTGAACAAGTTGTTATTTGAAAGTCAGTCAGGTTAGCGCTGGTCAGTTACAATAGCCCTCCAAGCTTCCTCCCAATTTTTCGGTACGGTGCAGCTTGTTCCCCACCTGGCATTTTGTTCTCAGGACTGAACAAAATGTCATTCAATAAAGAATTCTTTGAGGGAGATAAAGATCTCAGAGGTGTCATGGTTTGCACTGAGGATGCAAATTTTAAACAATTTCATATTCAAAAGTGGTTGATCTTTAAAATGAATGAAATATCGTGGGCATTTTTCCATATGCTGACAAAACCATTTTTCGGCACTAACACTTGCCGTTCCTCACAAAATCAGCTTAGAGATTTGAAGAAGAGATAAAGTTCACACCAGCTTTAACAGCAAGTGAGCTGCTGCCTTCCTCAGTAAATAACCTGTAATGTTAATAATCTTTTCACAGCAGTTTGATATCAAAATAATGAAGAAGTGACTTATTCACTGCTGGAAACAGCTGTTTAGCTCAAACTGATGTCCACAAATACTGTTGCAGCAACTTTCGCAGTCCAGGAACTCTATGCGTGTTTACTACCACCTCCACAATGCATTTATGCTCAGTACTCATCAGAACACTTCCTCCCTACTGACAGACATTTTTGATCAATGGTCTGTGTTAGCATTTGAAAATCCTGGTTTAGTGTAAAAATGAGCCAAAGGTATCTGGATAAATCAGACAGCCGGCAGACACCTTTTTACAGTTTGATGCTGCAAAGCTCATCAACTTGACTGCCACAGTTAGCAGATAGACAGCAGGGAGGTGCGCCTGTTTTATGGACACTTTCGAGCAGTCAGCAAACACGCCTGTAACTCCATCTCATCAAACAGTAGCATTTTCCACCTGGTGGTGCAACCAAGTACTACAACAAATGAGCAGTACATTTGCTGACATATGTGTTTCTTGTCTTGTAGCTTATTGGATAATGTGTTTTAAATCAATCAAATTATTAATAGCAATTAATTGAATAACATTTAATCATGAACATTCCTTTGCATGTATAACTGTCTATAACAATGTCTTTCATGGAGCAGGTTTAATTCCAGCAGTTTAACTTTCCCCTTGTAAATCTGTTGAAATTTAACCTTTTAAATGCTTGTGTGACAGACCTCTAACAATAGAGAACTGTCTATTAATAAATATCTTCGTTTTTCTCCACAGGCGAGCTAACAAACTGGACATTAGTTAAAGAGAAGAGTCCAGTTAAAGAATCTCCTGCAACACTTTATTTGTGTGGGGAGTGTGGAATGGACTTCCCTGAGAAGCATCTGCTAGAGCAACACCGTGGGAGTCACAAGAAGCCTTTTGCATGTCCCGACTGTGACAAGACATTCAAAAACGAATCATATTTTAAAATCCATCAACGTGTCCACTCAGGAGAAACACCTTACATCTGTTCAGAGTGTGGGAAGAGTTGTGTCACAGCAGTTTTGCTTAAAAAACACGAACTAACCCACACCGGAGAAAAGAATTTTCACTGTGGTCGGTGCTGGAGGGCGTTTTCACAATCCTCGCACCTGAAAATGCATCTCAAGACCCACACAGGAGAGCGTCCTCACCTGTGCTCAATCTGTGGAAAAAGTTACTCCAGAGCACATACGCTGAAAGTTCATCTGCGAGTTCACACTGGAGAGAAACCATACTCTTGTGAGAAATGTGGGAAGTGTTTTTTTTACTCTCAAAATTATCAAGTGCATTTGAAGACTCATGACAAGAAGCTGAAGCCTCCACCAAAATCTACAGGGAGACCAAAACAGCAGCTGTTAGTGGTAAAGAATCAGTGATGTCATGTGGAAATTTTAAAGCAGTCTGAAAAGATGTAAATTTATTACCTTTTACTTATTGATTATTAAGCGACATAAAATATCTTTTAATGGACTCAAGTGATGGGACAAGCAATACGATATTAATCACATGTGATATGTTGTGTACAGTCAAATCCACTGTTATGTATTTTAGGCTAGAGTATTTAAATAAATAAATCATGGTAATTGTGTTTTGTATTGATGCTTCAAGATCTGTGTGTGGAAACAGACACAAGCAGAGTGAAAGAGAGACAGGTGAAGATGATGATAAAGGCGTTGATGACAACTTGTTACAGCCATTCCATGCATTTGTGCTGACATGGGGTAATTGTGGTGACGGGGAGGAGTTATTTTTTTTCCTGGCCTTTCTAGTTGTAAATTAAATATGATGGAAGGGCGGAGGTACGGCTGATATATCTGTATGTTTTTGTCCAAAATGCTTGTGCTCTATCGATATCTAGTGGTTTTGAAGGTCACATAAAGAACCTTTATATATACTGTGTTGTAAGTTAATACCACGGTTGGAGTTCGTTTAGTGGTTATGGCGAGAGTACAAGTCAAAGTCAAGTCAAATTCTTGATGGGGGAAAGCTAAACTAAAAAACATATTTTAAGTGAATATGGTCACCGGGGAAACAATAAGATGTTACAAGTGTAAAACAAGTCATTTCCTGTTGTCAGCAGGTGGCACTATGACTGTGAATGGATATTGGCATATGGATGTGATCAGGGCAGCAGTCTGATCAAACATGGAAAGTTTGAGGAAGATTGGAGCAGGTACAGGGTCGTTAGACAG